GGGGGGGGGAATCAATCCTTGCATGCAATTATTGCTTATTGTACCTCAAAAAAAAATCCAGCAAAACCTGCTCTGTCCACTGTTACTTTAGAGAAAATTGGCTCCCATGATCTTTATATTGGCAGAGAAATTTCAGTTTCTACTTCCTGTTGGTGTACAACTGCAAATGCCTCATTGTGCGTCCTCGCAAATTCCCGAAGCTCCCCTCTGAGTGTGACTGACCCAAACATTAAAGGAAGAGAACAGCCTGACTCAGTAGCCCATGGTCGTGGTGTCTAGGAACTGATCTCAAATGTGGTCACACAAGAATGACCACATAATGTTCCTTTTGCTTCCCCAAGGAAGAGACACACAAACACCACTCCCACACTGAGCCTCTCCTTTGTCTTGCATTCCCATTAGCCCAGTGCTTTCCTTACCCCCAAAGGATCCTACTTCCAAACAATCCTGCATCATAAGCTATGGATACATCAGCTGTAGTCTTCAACTCAGGATTCAGGTAGTTCCTTACCCCCACACTCTTTACTACTGGTGAAAATTGGAGATTTAGAACCAAAGTCACCAGAGAACTTACCACATACACTTTGCAGCACAGACCACCGCTGCTCCTCACAAGGTATGGGAGAACTCGGATGGAAGAGTTAATAAATCCATTCCTCTGCTTTGTTATCTTTTCAGAGGCATTTTTAAATTCAACATTTACTTTCTTCTAATCCTGACACCAATCACAGCAAGGCAAAAAGCAGATCTTGTATAGAACAACAATATGCTTGTTCACACATTTAACGGGACTTAAAATGTGCCTTGGCTCTTCTACACTGCAGTCAGGACAGATTATTAGAAAAGGGATCTGTTCAATAGAAATTGGTAGTTTGTACTCAGACTACCACAAATCAAGGGGGTGTATGCGTGCATGCAGCAGTGCTAAGTGGGGAAATAAGAAAACGGAAAACTCTCTAAACATAATATACATTGTAGTTCTTATAAGGCTTAGCCACCCAAGGAAACCCCTCTGTTTCTCTCTCCATACCTGTTGAAAGAGTGCCCTGCTAACCCTGCTGCAAAGGAACTAAGTAGTATCAAATTCCTAGTGACACACGGAGACCTTGTAGTCTTTGTTCAGGCTGAACACCCACAATGCTCTCGCTTGGCTTTTGTACATAGTAAGTGTAAAAAAAGCCTAGAACAGACAACAAACACTTTTTTCAAAGAAACCTCCTTCGAGAGAGAGACACCAAAATCATAACTAGCACTTACTGTTTCTCTCTGCCACAAATGGATCTGTTTCCACCCAGTCAGAAGTCTCTTGCCCTAGCTCAGCTCTCACACGCAAAAACACAGTCCAGCGCCGCTCCTTAAGCGACCAGGGGAAACTGCATTCCGTCTGGGCGATACGGGTGCAGTTCATCTCATCCCACCAGTTAAAGGCCCCTCTGCAATGCAAAACAAAGGACAAATAAAGCACCGGCAGAACAGCGCAACTATCTAAAGTACAATCCTGCCCACCCAGACAATTTTTGTAACAACAGAATGTGTGAAAAAACTACCCACTTCCATGTGGGTTTAATTCCACAGCCCTTCCAGCACCTGCATCTCCTCAGTATCTGGAGAAAAATTAAAATTAGTGAGGGAGAATTCAGTAAGGCTAAAATTATACAGGAAAGCATGCAACATTTCTGGTGCTCTGCAGGTCTTCAATCTTTTCTCAGTTCAGTGGACATATCACAGGCTAGGAGACCGGCAGTCTTCAGAAGCTGCTTTCAGATATATTATAGACAACTCATTCTTTCATTTGCTTATGACTTTTTAGCTTTTTTTTTTTTTTTTAAACCAATTGCATTAATGGATTAGAGCAAAATTAGTTTGGGTGTTTTTAGAACTATTTACTTACGTTTTAAAATGGACTGTATATAACACCAAGCCTCTATCCACTTTAACAGGAGACCACCTCAGCCAACTATGAAAGTTATAGGAATAAATCATCACATCCTTTGGTGCTGGTAAATGGGGAGAAGATTCTAAAGTAAAAAGAGGAATAAAAATAATTATTGAAACATTCAAGTACACAGTAACTAACTTTTGGTCTCCAAATTCCATCACCATATGTTACATTTTCACTGATTTGCAGGCAAACCCATTCCTCCTCTTCGTTTAGTTTTTAGCTGCACGAGTACCAATACATTTAAGTCCCTGCTCTCTGCAAAGCACTGAATTGCAACTTACTGCTTTTGTTTATTCCATACAGAACACAGCACTGAAAGTGCACAAAACTATAAACTCCCCCAACTCCCCAATGAAGAACCCCCCATCTCACAGATTACTGTGTTAGCAACTCAGAACACATTTTTCCTGACCATCTGCCTCCTGATAACCTGTCTGAAAACAGAGGTCACTTCACTGAAACTTTCCAGGGGGGGGGGGGGGGGGGGAAAGCCTTCTTGTACTTAAACATTCACAAACACATGGTGCACTGTTCCACTTGCAAGCCTGAAGTTTTGTCAATTTTGAAACCGATTTCACAATGCAGAAAAGGACAGAAACCTCTGTTAGAGGGGTGCCTTCTGCTAGGAGGAACGTCCACCTAAATTCGGCCACGCTACAAACTCCTGGGAGTGAACAAAGACTGCAAGCGCTCTCGAGCAGCTTGTCAGGAGGAGATCAACACGGAAGCTGAGAGCCAAGAGTTGCGTCTCTAGTGCGTGAGCACCACTTTACTGCTGGCCCAAGCAGAGCGGGGAGCCATCTATTGGGACTGCACCACTTTACTGCTGGCCCAAGCAGAGCGGGGGAGGAAGAACAGAGGAGGAAGCCATCTATTGGGACTGGAACATGGCCAAAGGCCGGGCATGGAGCAGGGGGCGGAGGGTTAGAAAAGCCAAATGGAGGAAGGAAGCAAGGGAGAGCGGGCAGGCGAGCAAAAGGCAGAGAACCAAGGGCTGGGGAAATGGGGGTGGGTGAAGCAAAGAAAGGCAGATGAGAAGTGGGGTAGCAGCGGGAGGGAGATGTTAGCTGGCAGAGAGGGCAAAAGAGCAGGCTGGAGGACCAAAAAACACTGAAAGACAAGGAGAGCAACAGCAGGGAATTGGGATAGCCAAAAGAGACTATGATTACCTCAAGTGGGCTGAGGTGAGGATGACAGGAAAATGCAGTTACCAAACGCCCTTAAAACCAGAAAGGCCTCATGCTTTTCACCACAGCCCTGCAGGCACTCAGGTGGGAAGGGCCCTCGGGAGGTCTCCAGTCGAAGCTCCGGCCCCAAGCGGGGCCAGCTCTGGCATCAGACCAGGCTGCTTGGGGCTTTCTCCAGGCAAGTCCCTGAACCTCCAAGAATGGAGCCTGCACAGCCTTGCTGGGCAACAGCTTTGCTGCCCATCTGTCCCACGAGGGAGAAAGGTTTTTCATTCTACACCTGACTTGTTTTCGTCTGTGTAGTGATCCCCTTACACCATTAAAAATACTGGGTCAACAGGTCCTGAGCTCAAAGACAACCATGACGTGACATGATAGGATACCCCATGTGATTTCATTTTTTGTTCTTCAGACAACAGTCTCCTAAGATATGGTTTGTTTATCTTTACATAAATAAGATCAAGCACTTGAGCTAAATTCTGGCCCTAGCCTTCTTTGGGAATATGGGGACAATGTTAAAAAGGTTTTTTTGATTTCTAAATCTGATTTTGCTACACAGCACTAGACAGCACATTGATGCTGACAGCACGATCTTTCAGCAGAGACCTCGTGCCCGGCCCTTAACATCCTCCATGTACAGGAAAGAAGACGACACGAATCTTCATAAAGGTGCACTAAACCCTAAGTCCAAAATACAAAATAACTACTTAAGGCCTCAAAGTTTTAATCAGGTATCTTTCTAGTTTCTTAGCCTCAACGAGTAGTGCCCTTAAGTAAAGACACATTGCCTTAGGATCACGCAGCACTGCAAACCTGTTTGAGATTCCTTACCGTTACAAACGATACCTAAACTATTAATCTCTAGCATATTTTAAAGGCCACTAAGTAACCTTTTCTTCATTCAAGTAAAGTTTTCACTTCCCAGTCACGCAGATTCTTTCTTGCACTCTCACTGCTGGTCTGGCATGTGGCAAGGTATCTCACACCATCAGTAATCTGTGCACTCTGACATCCGATACAAACTAATTTTACAAAATTCAAGAAAACTGTCAGAACGAAACACAAGCAGTAGTGTGTTTTTTTTTTTCTTCTCTCCCTCTTAAAAAAAAAAAAAAAAAAAAAAAAAGAAGAGGAGAAAGCAATGAAGGAGGAGGGCAGCTAGTTCATCTGGCACTTACTACCGCACTGAGGAGCTGTTTCTGTAGCACACCGAAGGAATAAGTTCCTATTTTGGTTAGATAACTCAACTAGACAAGGGAAGTTACTTCAATTTCAGAAATCACACACCAAACTCCGTAATGATCGTTAGATTGTGTGACCCAAAGTAACCAAATGCACACTTCAGAAAAAAAGCACCTACATATGCAAGTATCCTAGAACAACCCAGACTACCTCAGCCAGGGAAAGGGAAAAATGCCCCATCCTTTCTCTGTCTGGAAGGTGGTCACGCTGAACTGGTTCTTTTAAAGCATCTGCCAAACAACGCTCAGATTGTTTTTTCCTGATGCAGAGGCTTCCTGACTCTTCAAGCCACAAGTCAAAGCTTTCACATAGCCGAGTGTGAAGCCACAAGTTATGGTGAGTGAAAGCAGCTCAGGTCGGCCTAGCCATCGATTTCACAGCCCCTGTTCCTCCTCCTGAATGACTTCTGACCCCTTCCTCTGCATCAGCCTTAGAGCTAAATGGCAAAAAGAAGTCTGGGGTGGGGGGGATTTTGGATGGACTTTTGCTGTCCCCGTGCACTGAACAGGCTTCGTGCATTGTCAGACAAGCACCAAAGCCTGCAAAAGGCGAGCAGCAGAAGCGTGTAGCCAGGTGGGGACGGGTGACAGCAGCTGGCTATGCTTTTGGCTCGGATTTTAACGTGTAGCACCTTCATTTGCAACGGAAGAGACACAGCCCGCCCTGCCTACGACAAGGAGAGAGCGGGCAGGGGGACAGGCGGCCCCTGCGCACAAGCCCAGGCCCAAGCCCAGGCCAGCTCCCTGGGAAATCCCGCTGCTGCCGACGGGACGGGGCAACGCTGACACCAGCGGAGCCCCCCGGCTCGCCTCTACCCCACCCACGGCCTTTGGGCCCCCGACTCCGGCGGCATGCAGGCCT